AGAAAACCTCCCCGATCGTCGACCTTCCCTCCACTTTCACTCCCCACAGCTCCTTGCTGATTGACAAGCATAAACGTCGATACTTTCCCTAAACTCAGCCTCCTCTGGCCTATGGAGGCAGGGAGAAGTCGGTCAAGACAGAGAATAAAGAACATTACATCATGGGAAATGTAGTCTTGAGTGTTGCCCCGTCAGAGGGAAAACACTGAGAAGGTGGCTCGTATTACAAATAATCGTTGTAAACAAATCTTTAACGCATGTCTCAAATAAAACTTGAGTTCCGATTAAGACTCTGATAATGAAGTTTGTTCTTTTGATTCTAGTGTTTTTAATGATTATATTGAACTTTTATATAAATTTTAAAACCATATCGTACTGAATCGGTCCGAGCGTTTAGAGTTAGCAACTCACTGGCTATATTCAAACAAGTGTCAACTCTTAATTTCAGTAGGCTATATGGTAGAAAATGTGTAAGTTAGCTGACTCATTGAACCACATATACAGTGTGTGCACTTTCCCCTCCTATTTTTTATGTAAATGCAAAATTACGTATTTTCAGGCTGTAACAAACTGACCAAGCACCGATATGAATAAGTCCGATCGAGAAAAAAACTTAATAACCAGCAATGCCTGTCAATATTAGACGTAATTTTCACACATGATGACGTAATTACGCCAGGACGTAAAAGAATCACTGAATCTGTTTTTGAACCGACTCTTTAAATGAACTGTTCGAAAGAACCGAATCGCGCTTCCAATAAAAGTGGTGCGCAATGCAAACGTCTTGAACGCCACACGTAGTAGGGTTGCCACCTATGTCTGATAAAAAACCGGGACATATCGATGACCCGCCCAACGGGGAAAAGCGATTAAATGCGCGCTTCTTACATGCGCTTTTTGAGGCACACACACGCAAGGTCTCTCGCTCTCTCCCTCTCTGTCGTCCGCGCGCTACACAGTTTGAACATGTTCACGTAGCCTTTCGAAAACCGGGACATTCAGTGTCCCGGGAGAGTGCATAAATTTCCCGGGACAAGTTATTAAAAAGAAGGACAATCCCGGTAAAACCAGGACAGGTGGCAACCCTACACACGTAGCCTACTAGTATTATTTTAGGTTTATCCTGCGGTTATACTTCTTACTTTTATAGCCAATTGATATATAAAAGCGTACAAGGGAGGCCTACTCAAATATCACTGATCAATTGCTTGCGATATAATAAGGAAAAGTGAACAGTTTCAGTAAAGAACATTCTTGTGGGATTGGTATCTTTGGAATGTTATTGAAACGCTAAACGCCTTAGTTATCTCTGAAGCTTTGTGCCTACTCAGCTACAGCTCAGTAGCCTAGTCAGTTTATCCTATAATCTTTCATCATGTGATTTCAAGTTGTGGATTAAGTGAAAATTTGCACTGACATTCCAGTAGGCTACAGGCATATTTTATGCTTTATGATTGTTTCAAATCAGCTTTACAGTGATAAACAAACATGATACACAAATGCACAATTATTATAGGTATAGAATTAATGAAGGATTCTGTTTATTCTTAAAAGTAACAACTACTAATTTTAATGTAGCCTAGCTATTTAAAGCATTACAAATAAATAAATAAATAAATATGGAGACATAAAAGAGGGCAGAAATCATTTGATTTATTGCATTCTGTTTGTGAAAGTTTTAGAGTTTTGAGCTCTTACAAATGGATAATTTATGAGACTCTTGTTGAGTTATAGTGCAGAAAAAACTGCCTTAAATTGAAAGCCTGCATTATTTTAATACAATTATATGTTAATGGCGAGACTGGTGCACAGTTTACATGCCTGTTTACACGTTTTTTTTCATCAGAAATTGTCTCACCAAATCCAATTACAACAAATTATATAAAGTCTGTCATTAAAATGACTCATCACATAGCAAAAAAAAAAAGAAAAAAAAAAGGATGAAGCCAAACAATGAAGTGGTGAATTCACTTTATATTGACAAACAATATGCAACTCACAGTGATGTATGACCATTTATATTAGGTTTCTGGGTATATGTTATAATTTATAATCAACACCTTGGTTGTTTTCTTCCTTTTTTATGTAAAAACCCAAAGATAATGCATGTGGCCATTCAAATTGTTATTACAATATTATAACAACATTATAAGCTAATATTATTTTAACAATGTGTATGTAACCAAATGTACCATCCCACAAATTTCGATAATAATAAATAATAAATTGTTAGTGGGAGTGGCCTAAACTGTAGCGATGAAATGTGTATGTCAGTTGTTGAATAATTGAGAGTCATTGATTTTACCAATGGTCTTAGAGACTGTGTGAGTGGAGCAACACTGAAGCGCACATGTTATAAAGCTATTATGGCTCTGGGGGAGATTGAAGAGCTAAAGGTGCCCTCATCTGAAAACCACAAGGCCGACTTTTCTACATGTATTAGTTCTCCATTTAAGAAATGTGCATCTACAGAAAGAGTGCTTCACCACAGCCTTAAAGGTAGGTTAGGCAATGTTTTTCATAAACACTTTTTGTTATACTGGTTGAAACTCTCTTCACATGCATCCTGATGATAACATCCAATAATAGAAGTCATCTAAATATACACTCACCTAAAGGATTATTAGGAACACCATACTAATACTGTGTTTGACCCCCTTTCGCCTTCAGAACTGCCTTCATTTTATGTGGCATTGATTCAACAAGGTGCTGAAAGTATTCTTTAGAAATGTTGGCCCATATTGATAGGATAGCATCTTGCAGTTGATGGAGATTTGTGGGATGCACATCCAGGGCACGAAGCTCCCGTTCCACCACATCCCAAAGATGCTCTATTGGGTTGAGATCTGGTGACTGTGGGGGCCATTTTAGTACAGTGAACTCATTGTCATGTTCAAGAAACCAATTTGAAATGATTCGAGCTTTGTGACATGGTGCATTATCCTGCTGGAAGTAGCCATCAGAGGATGGGTACATGGTGGCCATAAAGGGATAGACATGGTCAGAAACAATGCTCAGGTAGGCCGTGGCATTTAAACGATGCCCAATTGGCACTAAGGGGCCTAAAGTGTGCCAAGAAAACATCCCCCACACACCATTACACCACCACCACCAGCCTGCACAGTGGTACAAGGCATGATGGATCCATGTTCTCATTCTGTTTACGCCAAATTCTGACTCTACTATCTGAATGTCTCAACAGAAATCGAGACTCATCAGACCAGGCAACAACATTTTTCCAGTCTACAACTGTCCAATTTTGGTGAGCTCTTGCAAATTGTAGCCTCTTTTTCCTATTTGTAGTGGAGATGAGTGGTACCCGGTGGGGTCTTCTGCTGTTGTAGCCCACTTCTCCGTGGCTTCACAAATGCTTTGCTGCATACCTCGGTTGTAACGAGTGGTTATTTCAGTCAAAGTTGCTCTTCTATCAGCTTGAATCAGTTGGCCCATTCTCCTCTGACCTCTAGCATCAACAAGGCATTTTCGCCCACAGGACTGCCGCATACTGGATGTTTTTCCCTTTTCACACCATTCTTTGTAAACCCTAGAAATGGTTGTGCGTGAAAATCCCAGTAACTGAGCAGATTGTGAAATACTCAGACCGGCCCGTCTGGCACCAACAACCATGCCACGCTCAAAATTGCTTAAATCACCTTTCTTTCCCATTCTGACATTCAGTTTGGAGTTCAGGAGATTGTCTTGACCAGGACCACACCCCTAAATGCATTGAAGCAACTGCCAATTATGGTTGATTAGATAATTGCATTAATGAGAAATTGAACAGGTGTTCCTAATAATCCTTTAGGTGAGTGTATATAGAAAAAATACATATCATCAGAGGAAGTATCAGGACCAAAAAATAATCGTCCAATCATTGCATTCGGTCCGAATGATAGGATGTCATATCTGCCTGTCAACGTATGTATGTATTTCCATTTCTCCGCGGACCCTTCTCACGCAATCACACGTCATCAGCACGTCCCATGAGGCTATGCAGAGTTGCAGACAAACACAGTTCCTCCTGAACCAAAAGAATGAGCTTATGCTTAAACGCCATTACCGTTATTAAGAGCGCAACCTGTGACGTTCTTGGACGTTCATGTCCACGGAATTGTGCATTCAGCAATTGTATCAATGCCAAAATGAATCTGCAGCAATCAGGTGGTACAAGTCAGAGCTCTTTTAAGTTGTTGACATTCATTATTGTTATGTGCTTTGAGACATGATCTTTCAAGCCCTCTGAAGGAAGGGATCTTATGCTTTTAAACCTTACCTTTAAGTGTCTAATGCTCCAAGACTATGGCATACTAATTTTAACTGCATTTTGTGGTCAAGAAAAGAGCATTGTGTCAGGGTTTACCAAAGGACAGGAGCGCAGTGGTTCAAACTGAGGACACTGGGAGGTTGGGGGTGGACTAATGGATTGATAGCCACATGGTGTCTTAACAAATGTCTCATGTTTGATAGTGAAAACAGACCTTGATTACACGGTCTTAGAATACGTCTTGAGCAACTTCCCATATCATATTCACTAGGATAAAATTTGATTTAATTGCTGCTTTGGTGCTCAGTGTAAACCAGTGTTATTTAAGTATCATTAACATACTATTATGGTGTTTTAGTAATTTTATTGTTTTGTTGTAATTTTTTTGATGTCAATAGTTTGTATTACGTTTTATTAAGTGTTACTTAGTTTTAGTTATTTTAGTAGTTCAACGTGAAAAATAAACTAACATGAGAAGTGTTGCATTTGCAACTAGCTGAAATAAAAGTTTGTTATATTTTTATTTTATTTGAGTAAATATCAATCTTCATTTTTAATGGTTTTAGTTAATGATAATAATGCTGGTGTCATCTATTGTGGGTAAGAGTCTTTCTTAATGTATTTTCCAGAATTTCAACTTTTTTTGTTATAATGCTGAGCTTTCTTGCATGCTGAAACTCAGAGACGTACAATCTTCTTGTCTTCTTCAATGTTTTAACCAGTAAATGACAGAGAATGTGATAGTGATACATTTTAATCATGTGTATTTTAGATAACAAAATTAAGACCATGTTCAATGATGAGTCTTTACTATAGAGCAAAAACATAATCATTACATAACACTGTACAGCAAGTGTTTTTTGTATACTCAGTCCAAGAAATCTGTAAAATCTGAAGTATTGAAAGGCACATAAAATTCTCAAAAAAGCTTAAACATTTAAAAAGAAAAATCAAAAAAAGTATTCCCTGAATGAATAAAATAACTTAATTGTAATTAAATAATTGACAAAACAGTTATAACTGTAATCCTAAAACCAGAAGTTGAAAAACTTCCAGTTAAAAATATTCATGCAAGTAGTTCATTGTATATTATGGTCCAAAAATATTTGCTTTAATTTTTAAAACCATTTTCTGCCTAATGATTTCTTTTTAGAAAATAAAACGATTAAGATTCCAGGAGGAGACCAAAATTATTACTGTATTGTACAAATTTATTGCATGCCCATTTCTGACCTATAGTACTGAAAAGTGCTTAATTTCACTTCAAATGAACAAGTCGATGTAAAGGGAAAAAGCATGCAAACCGGAAAAATTAAGACACGTCTGTTCTGAGGTGGCACATTTATCCAGACTGTGGGCAATTAGGACAATTAGGACTGGTGTTGTCAGTGGGACTGTCCAGTGCTCTGAGGGTATGTCTGTGACTCTTAAAAGACGAGTCTGCTGATGGTATTGAAACCCCCTCCCCCACCCCCACCCGAGGGTCCACAGCTGCCAGGGGGTTCGTTGTCATCAGACCCATTGGGTCGGAATGAACAAGAAGCAGAGGTTGCTTGGAGAGCCCGAGCTCTGGCATTCAGCTCCTGTTCCTGGAGGGAAAGGAACGAAGGGTTCAATCCATGCTCCAGGTTAAACTCGAATTAATGTCAAATAAGAGTGTCCAAGATTAAGGAATGATAATGATTTTGAAAAATATTTTATACTATTTAAAATGAATGACTCTAAAAATGTCATGTGGAATAACCATCAAGTAATAACATTTTCCTTTCACCAATACATTAGAGTCTATCTTAATCTCATCACATTAAAAAAAAGCCTAAATATACTTCAATATAAAAAGTATTTAATGACATTTATTAATTAACCTTTCAAAATTAAATCATTGGAATTATCTGATATTTTAAGTGATTCTATGTTCTTTTTCTCCATGTTTCTGTTAGTTTTTTTTTTCTTTTAAATAAATTGATAGAACCAGACAAAACAAATGAGCATTATGCCACTAAGTTTTTAGAAAATAAAGAAAAATGCACTACAGTTCAAAAGGTTGGGGTCAGTAAGATTTTTTTTTACATAAATTAATGTAATTGAATTGATCAAAATGACAGTACAGACTTTGATTCTGTTACAAAAATTATATTTCAAGTAAATGCTGTTCTTTTAAACTTTCTATGCATCAAAGAAAATGTTATATTAAGCAGAAAGATTAAACAGCACAACCGTTTTCAACTGTGATAACACATTTGTCTTGAGCAGCTAATCAGCATATTAGAATGATTTCTGAAAGACCATGTGACACTGAAGACTGGACTAATGACTGCTGAAAATTCAGCTTTGCAAACATTGCAAATTTTATTATAAAACAGCTTTTTTATTAATTGTAATAATTTTTTTCCTATATTAGTATTTTACTGTATTTTTGTTCAGATAAATGCAGCCTTGGTGAACATAAGAGACTTTACATTACTGACCCCAAACTTATGAATGGTAGTGTATATATACGCGAGTCAAATGAGGCCTGTTTTATGCTTTTCCAAAAGCACCATTGATAATGTACAATATTCTCACCTGTAGGAAGAGTTTGTTGTCTTTGGTAATGGCATCCATCAGCTCTTTCTGCAGGGGTGGCTCTCCACTCAGTTTTGAGCCATTTACGACTGGCCCTGAATTGCTTGGTTGTCCACTGACCTCTTGTTTCCTATAGATCAGGACATAGGCTGTGTCCTTAGGGAAGCGACAGGTGACGTTCTGCAACGATTGAAAGTTTGTAAAAGTCACTCGGCTGTCATTAAACAAGAACCAGTCCGTTGACTTCTGGTCAGTGCACCCCATGTTCTCCTGTGTGGCTGTCGAGCTCTCTGATAGGCTGGAGTTTTCCACGGTCTTAGGACATGGGAGAGCAACATAACCATCAGTGCTACTCACATTTCTTCCATACGAGTAGTAGTGACCACTCTCAGAGGACATTCCAGAATGCATTACAACAGAACTCAAAACATACGGCACTGACAGCATTTCCGCATCATTTTTCTTGCTTTTTGTTCTGCTTTCCGTCATCCCCTCCTCTTTCTGAGAAGGCTTGAGCTTTTTAGCTAGATTCTCGCCACTCTCAGGGGAGTCAGATGAAGAAGCAACTGCAGTTGAGGAAGGTGATGAAGCAGGGCTACTGTGTTGGCGTAGAGGCAGGCACATGTGCAGCGGAATGCCCACGTTGTCCAGGATCTTGCGACGCACGTGCCAGGTGGCATCGTACGAGAAGCGCAGCAGAGTCAGAATGAGGTACTCGGGTGCCGTCACCACCCGCATGACCTTCTCGGCCCTCTGTAGAGAGGCGCAGCGTTCACAGAAGTAGCAGTTGTCATTCTCCAGGATTTCCGGAGCCAGGAAATAGTCCACTAAATCGGTCACAGACAGCGTGGGCTCCACCACGGGCATCTCCATCTTGGTTCCTGAACCTTCTTTTACTGAGCCTTCTGAGGATTCACTGCCTCCATTTACCGACCCTTGGCAGGGTCCCACAGCAGAGGAGCTTTTGTGCTCTTCAGTGGGACCATGTGCATGTGACATCGAGGGGCAGAAGGCAAGAGAGAGGTCTGTAAAAGGCTCCTCTTTTTCTGACAGGCTGTGGCACTGCATGCAACAGATGGCTGTAGAGAGTCTACCACCAAACATACGCTCCACTAGAGTGCGACCATCTCCCTCGGCTACAACGGGATCTGGGTGTGATGGCACATCAGCGACTGGTTGACTTACAGCACTGTGGAGAGTTTCAGCAGAAGTGGTTGCTGGTTCAGGTTTTGGGCTGGTCAGCTGAAGGGCTGAGAGAGTCTTCTCTTCCTCATGCAACCTTAATATCACACAGGAAGACGGAACACAACTTTATGGGACTATGAAATACATTAACTCCCCCTGCTGTTGTAAATTATTGTCATTATTAAATTGTTTTTTGGGTTGTCAATCCATTGAAATACACATTCATGATTAATCTCATATTTATGTGTAGTTAACAGATTAAACCATATGTATATGATAACATACACAATATTACAAAACAATAGGCCTATGCATACATTTTATTCCAATGATATATAGTCCTATTCGGAGAGCAGTGTTTCTCATGGGGATGTCTGTAAAAAATAAATCAGCATGGCTTCTCAGAAATAAAACCCTCGAATGACGATTTGTGGTGGGAAAGCAAGTTCTGTGATCCTAACAACTGGAAATGTGATTCTCAGTAACATGTAAACAAAATGTCTGTTATTGCTTGGACAACTAAGAAATTAACATTTATTTGACCAAGCTACTTAATCGACTAAGATTATATTATTAACATTTTATAGCATACTTGTTGCAGCCATATTAACTGGCACTTTTCAGAAGTTTACATTATTTTGTTCACTTTTTTTCAGTAAGAAGTGTCTTTATTTAAAGGGCCCCTATTATGGATTTTTGAAAATGACCTTTCATGTAGTGTGTAAGATAACTCTAAGTGAATGAAAACATCCTGCAAAGTTTTAAATCTGAAAGTGCACCGTATATAAAGTTGTTTTTGTAAGAGTCGACTCTGAGTCAATTAAATGAATCATTTTTCAAACGAGTCATAAGCCGTTTCGTTGTGACGTCAAGACGAAACATTAGTATATTGCCCGCCCATGTATTGCAACTTGAACCTCAAACACTGCAGCTGATTCCTGTGGATACTGGATAGCATCATGTCGAGAAGACGCTGTGCTCTATAATCTGAAGGTAAAGCCAGTTTATTTTCACTGCCCAAGGACGAGCATGTGAAGAATCAGTGGTTAAAATTAATCTTTACCATGATATCACAGCAGTATAATCCTAAACTTTTGCTCTTTTTAAGATGGTGTTCAAAAAACAGTTTTGAGTTTGATATTGTGTAGGTCTCCTGCTAACTAGCTAACTCACATTATTACTGTCTTACTGAAATACTTCTGTTGATCAGCTGTGGGACACTATTACCTAAAACTGTGTCTATTAATGCAGATTGTCTGTCGTTCTCACTAAGTTACTTTGAGGAAATATTTCTTTTACCAACGTTTATGTTACATCAGATCATTCACTCTATAGCTCGGCTAATGTACATTGCATACATGCACTGCAATTGATACAGTTTCCACATGTTTACCGCAATATATTAGAAAAATACTCGGTAAATACATTAGTACAAGTAAAATAATCGGTTTGTTGATAGACATGCACTTGTTAATGCTGATGGTGAGGAATTCCAGTTGCAACATCTTACAATGTACCTCAAACTGAGTACCGGTAGTGTATCACTGAGAAACGTCCTGCTTGAGTCGTCCTTGCGATGGTTTGGGTTGTTGAATAAAGAGCTCTTTCAGTGTTTCCTCATCGGACTTGCGCCCGCATTAATATGGTCAAATCGACGTTATTGTTCGTTACTGTGTTTAGTTACAGTGTAGGAAGCCTTAGGACAAGCAGAGCTGACGTTGTTATGGCAATGGGCGTTTTTGATTTCGACAAGCTGACACGGTAGGCCAATCACAACAGACTGAGCTGTCTGGCCAATCACAACAGACTGAGCTGTCTGGCCAATCAAAACAGAGTAGCTCGCGGAAAGGCTGGATTTAGCGAGATTGATTCATTTGACGACTGACGAGTCGTTTGGGAATCATTGAAAATGTGATGATGTGCAAATGTATATTATGAGGAAATTAAACAGTTTTTAAACAGACATTAAACAGACTCCACAACAACAATAGCTTGAAAATAGCATAATAGGGGCCCTTTAAAATGCATGCACAGTACAGTGCTTGGCAGTGGTCAAAAAAGACTTTCTGGTACACTGTAAATTCAGATGCATGAATTTTCCACATCAGTCGCATGTGGATTTTTATGCAGGTGGTGGCAGGAATTCTGAATGTCAATAAATTCACAGATTTTACCCCATTGAAACAATTACTGTCATGTGTTTGTGTCTATTAAAGCCCAATTTATACTTGCGTCGAACTCACGCTGTAGATACGTCGTAGGCTGTGTGTAGCACGCGTACCCTTCGGCGTACCCTGAAGTGCACCTCTCCAAAAATGTAACAACGCGTCAATTCTACACGGACGAAAGCGCTGTCGTTGGTCTGCTAGAACCCCTCCCTCGAGTTTCACATGCTCCCTCTGCATGTGTAATTGCAACGACGCAGAAGTATAAATGAAAACCAACGCGTAGCCTACAGCGTAGAGGCTCCGGCGTAGGTCCAACGCAGAAGTATAAATCAGCCTTTAAGTGTATGCGTACATGTACTGAACACTCATTCCTGCAGGGGCTCTTGCAAAAGTTCAGCTTGTTTTGGTCATTCTTTAGGAATCATATGACAAAATAAAGCAGTATTAATGACAAATTGAATGAATGTGTTAAACAACCCTTTCTTTGTTTTGAGAAACAAAGTTTCAAAATCTGCTCAGTCCTGCGTTAAGCATTGGCATTGACAGCCAAACTGTATGCCTAGAGTAATATAACATTTGGAGTAATAGCTATATATTTCTTTTAGTTATGGAAAAGGATTCTGTTGCCATTTTCTGAGTTTACCTGTCCAAAAGAAAGCGCAAATACTCGGAGCAGTCTTGCTGAGATCCGCCTGTAAACCATGGTGGCCGAGAAACCTCCAAAAAACTCCTTGGCGAATATGCTGCTCTCTGGTGGGCATATAAAATGATACATAATCACTAACAGGTATTCTTAATACTCTCTCATTTAAGAAACAGAAAGCACACACACACACACACACACACCCAGCAGTGCTGAGTGCTGCAACGTTCTGGAACAGACAGACAGAAAACAAACCTGTGTGTGAGCCAAGAAGGCAAATAGAAGCTGGAGCTTTTTCATGAGGCTGTTGCTGCCATTCAAATGCAGAGACATAACATGTCGCCTGAAACTTTAAAGGACAGACTATAAGAGCTGAGAAATATCTTGCATTTGAAAAAAAAGTACTATAAATATATATATATTTTTTAAGTACTATAAATATTTAAATGCTTGAGGATTATTTTATTACGCATTACACATTGCTTGTGTTAACAAGCAATCAATAAAAACATGCAATTACATGTACTGGTAATTGCAGAGAGAATATCAATTACAGTTGGATTAATTACAATAGAAAGGTTGATACAGAGATCAGATAATATGTAATATATTTTGAACTTACTCTGTAGCCATAAATAAAATTTGGATGATGCTATTCATGTAGCATGTGTTGCCCAGATTTACAAGTCCTGTCTTCCCCGTTTCTGATTTGCCGGTGATCTTGAGCAGGCCTGAGGCAAATGAATTTGACTGAGAGGTCCAGGCACTTTGGTTCAGAACAAATTTGATCTTCTCCTCACTAGGTTTTGGCAGCTCCTACAGCAGAACCAGAGGTAGACATAGAATAGATGAAGTATAAAGTACTGCTCAAAAGTTTGCATTCAGTAAGATTTTTTAAGAAATTAATACATTTATTCAGAAAGGAAGCATTCAATTGATCAAAAGTAACAGTAAAGACATTATTAATGTTAAAAAAGATTTCTATTTTTAAATAAGTGCTGTTGTTTCAAGCTTTCTATCCTAAAAAAATATGTGTATCTCGGTTTCAACAAAAACAGCACAACCGTTTTAAAACAATAATAATACAAATAAATGTTTCTTGAGCATCAAATCAGCATATTAGAATGATTTCTGAAGGATCATGTTTCAGAGTAATGATGCTGAAAATTCAGCTTTGCCATTACAGGAATAAATTACATTTTAAAATATATTAAAACAGAAAACAGTTATTTAAAATTGTAGTAATATTTCACAATATATGTATTTATTGAATTTTTCATCAAACAAATGCAGCCTTGGTGAGCATTAGATAAAACAGATTTTCAAAAACAAAAAAACCTTATCGAACCAAACAGTATTAAATTAGATATTACACACAAGCACAAAATGTTAAATCATTTCAGCAGTGATACGTGTAACATGTCCTTTGTTTTACAAACTTAAGATAGTTCATGAGAGATTAAACCCATCTTTATCTTACTTTAATGGATTCAAGAATGCTGTCATAGAGGTCTGGAAAGCCAGAATATTGGTACATCATGCAGTGGACGAGTTCTGCAAACTGCAGCAGGAAGGTTTTACTGTTGGGAAGGCCATCACTCTTCAAAGACTTCACAAGCGGGACTATATGAGGGACCACCTGGTATAAATGACAGGGGTAATATAATTCATATCACATTGAAATGATAATAAAATGCTAAAAATATACTAAAACAACAGCTCTTTAAAAGCACAACAAACATTTAGAATGCTCTAACTCATTTGATACAACATTTATGGAAGTAAAATAATCCCAAATGTTTTTGAAACAAAAAGCCTGTTGAATTGTACTACTTGAAAAAAATATGCATTGCATTAACCCTGCTTGTATTTTAATGCATTGTATTTTTAGGGCTTGCATTTTTATAGGCTGAAATTTAGCATGGTTGAATATTTAAGCTGTGAATATTTCAAATCAAATCATTTCAAACACATTTTCATTAGTAAAATTTCAATAATCCATATTCACCTTTCATATTTCATATCCCAAATATTCAAACTGATTAAAAATACAACCTATAATATTCAACAGGCGGTTTTCGGTCCATTTTATTTCGCTTTGCAAATTCGCTTCCACAAATTCAGTGGTTCAAATTCGACAGTAAATTCAACATTGACATCCAGGAGCTGCAGGAAAAGTAGTAGATTACCGAGCATAATCTCCATCTGCTGTTAGTCGACCTCACCAGCAGGGGGTGCAAGCGCGTGTTGTTGACGAAGACCAGAGCAACAGTTAGTGCAAGCCATTCATTCATTAAAACTTATTTACAAAAATGTAAGTGTATTTGTGATTATTATGACGTCTGTTTTATGTGAAATTCAGTGTGTTCACGATTACTTTTCCTGTGTAGCCTACATGCATCTTTCTCTACCATGAACGATAATGTTATTCCCCCGATGCGGATGTACAGATCCAGTGTTACATTTGACATATTTCTCTTGGTTGTTTAGTTGCCTTAACCTTATATTGCAGCGATGTGCTGCATGCAGTACTAGGGTTTGGTTTCCCTCAATATGTCAGGATTCCCCTGCTGGACATATAAAACGCTTAACGTAACTTAATGGACATAAAAGACCAAACTCGCAGGCTAGCAGATGGACTCAGAATATGAATTTAACGCGCAAAGTTTAATGCTGAGCGTTTCCCAGTGATATACTGGCATAAATTTGGTTTGACATTGGACATTCGCACATTTAGGGACCGTCTCTAAAGTTACATACGAAATTGGTATACACGTTTCTAACTTAAATACCATTTGAAAAGAACGACTTACAGTCATAAAACCAACTGTAAAGTGTTCATGTAGGTGTCAGGCTCAGGCATAATGCGCAATTTATTCAAATAGATTGAAGTTTGCTATTGAAGTTAGAAACGTTTAGGCCTATAGGACTTGTTACTTTAGAGACGGTCCCTAAATGTGCGAATGTCAACCCAATTTTACATTTAGTCTTTTAGCTGGCACTTTTATCCAAAGCGACTAGTTAAACTAACAATATAGAACAACAATATGAAAGTGCTACTTCCCAGTTTAATCTGATGCAGTACATGTACAATACATACTTTCCAAATAAGGTGCGAGTTTGGTCTTTTATATCACTGTAGTCCATTAAGCTACGTTAAGCGCTTTGTCCTGACGGAATTCGGGGAATCTTTGAGTATGATGATGTATTGAGGGAAACAGATTATAATCCCGTTCACTGTAGAAAAGGCTGATAACATAAGGCTACACAGGGAAAGTTACAATGAATGAAACATAAAAACAGCTTTTGTGCCTTTATCATCTTTTCCGCATATATACTGACCCAGATAATCGTCACAAAAAACATAATGCATGCTGAGTTTTTATGAATGAATGGCTTGCGCTAACTGTTGCTCTGGTCTTCGTCAACAACACGCGCTTGCACCCCCTGCTGGTGAGGTCGACTAACAGCAGATGGAGATTATGCTCGGTAATCTACTGCTTTTCCTGCAGCTCCTGGATGTCAACGTTGAATTTACTGTCGAATTTGAACCACTGAATTTGTGGAAGCGAATTTGCAAAGCGAAATAAAATGGACCGAAAACCGCCTGTTGAATATTATAGGTTGTATTTTTAATCAGTTTGAATATTTGGGATATGAAATATGAAAGGTGAATATGGATTATTGAAATTTTACTAATGAAAATGTGTTTGAAATGATTTGATTTGAAATATTCACAGCTTAAATATTCAACCATGCTAAATTTCAGCCTATAAAAATACAAGCCCTAAAAATACAATGCATTAAAATACAAGCAGGGTTAATGCAATGCATATTTTTTTCAAGTAGTACAATTCAACAGGCTTTTTGTTTCAAAAACATTTGGGATTATTTTACTTCCATAAACATTAACATAAAATAAAACAAATAAAATAAGAGAATAAGTTATTATATAATACATAATATAATAACCATGTTCTTGAAAAATAAAAGTAATCTATGAAGCTTTAATTAGGTTTTGAGCCCTTATAAATGGGAAAATCTCAGTTTTTAACACATAGGGTTTTTAAAGCTAGAATTTGAGGTGGAAAAGGTGAAGCAATGTTTTGGTGAGTTCTAGTTTATGGTGGCCTTACTAAGTGGAAGGCTTCAGGAGAGTGCTGGAAACTAAGCAGCATGTGTGAAAGAACCACCAGCGCTCCCTGTCTCACAATGGGATACCAGAGACGATTAAAGACCTGCAAACAAACAAACACACATTCATACACATAAACACAAAGAAAAGTCTCTCCAAGCAGATCTCACTAACCGATTCTTAGGTATCAAAGAATGGTTAATGGTAAATGTCCTGAAACAATTGAATTCAATTCGAATTTAATTCATCTCCTGATACCTTATTAAAATGATGTTTCATATTCTTTACTTTTGGCAGGTACTCTAATGCTGGTGTTGTTCTTTAAAAATGTGACTTTAAAAGCTATTTTATGAGTAAATACACAAACCTGTTCGATTTTGAACAGTGTGACATCTATGAGAATGGTGAACTTTTGAACAGCAGCGAGTCCCTTTAATAAAGCAATGACCCAAGTGTCCACATGATTGGCTAGAGGCCAGGACAACCAGTCAATCATCCTAAAAAATAGATGGAGAGAAAAAAGAGGGTAAGGACAGGCAACATAAAAACCTTACATAACTGTAACAGCACCACAGGAAAGAAACTGGCAACATTGATTCAACCCTGGAAAAACAACAACAACAACAACAAAACCACTAGTCATTTAAAATCAGTTAAGGCATTATGGACACTCCACTCTTTCCAAATGACTTGCATAAATGCAAATTACCACATACTTTAAGAGCAAAAGTAGTAGAGAAAACAACATGATGGCAGCTGGATCAAGGGCTTTGAAACAGACACAAAAGCACTATTCACAAGCTTTACACAGCACACACACAGAGTCTGACCTGCAGAGGGCTTGTGTCATACTGGCATCTTTAACATTCTGGTCAGTGGTGAGGCTTTTGATGAGGACTGTGATCATTTGCAGAGGAATGTGCTGGACCAGGCTTGCTAGAGCAATGGAAGGTTCAAATGAAGGATCTGAAATGATAACAAACACATTGTACAGTGATTATGAGGAAGCATTGTATATGATTTCATATTTTGATGTATATACCACTTTTAGGATTTTTTAAGGGTCACGTCATACTTTATTTTTTTTTTTCACTAAGGTAGGTCCACTTAGGTTTCTAAAAAACATTTACACCAAAAAGGCCATTTTGCAGTTATGGAAAGCTACCTCTGACTAGATTTGAATGGCCTAATTTTGCTTCTGTTTATTTTTATTTTTTTTAAACACCCCTTTCCGTCATTGTCTCGAAATGCATGCCCACAAACTATAACATATTTCAGTAAGAAACCCCTGTAAGAATAGTAAATGAGTACTTGCAAATTCCGACTTAAATATACTCTATATTGAAAAGTGATCAACTTTTGCTAAGACCAAAACTTTTGCTAAGACCAAAAAATGCTTAGTGTGCTTCAGATTTACCAGTGTTGTGAAAGGTCAATATTCTGTACTGTAGTCTGATGTGCCACAGAGCCATCTCTTCGTTCTTATTATTATATTTAGACTCACATTTCTTGATTAAGAAGATTACCTATTGGATTGACTGATATCATCTTTACTAACATCTAGTAACCCCTGGGATTTAATATTTCGACAATTTACCAAGACATTCACATGTTCATGGTTCTCTGATGTTGATTAATGGTCACATGACATGCAGGTAAACACAATATTTAATCTTTTATTGTAAGTGCATTTTTATATTAATTGTATATTATATTTTAATTGGACATTTTTTTTAAAAAAAAACTCTGGTTTAGAAAAGCCTGAAGAATTAAATGAAGAAAAACAATGCACATTTTAACTTGACATCTTATAATATCCTATCCTTACAAAAATTATTTCACCCAAAAATTCAAATGAAAAATTGTGTCATCATTTACTCACCTGCATGTCTTTTACAACTATTTTCATGGTGCTTTCGCATAGTCTACTCTTTAAAGCTCCATATCCATTCATTCTAATTACATGTAAAAGAGCAATAATTTTTTTCTCCTTTTATTTTCCACCAAAAGAAAAAAAATACATATAAGGTTGGAACGACATGAGGGTGAGTAAATAAATACTAACCGAATTTTCATTTTTGGATGAACTATTCCCTTAACCTAATATATCATCATGAGAGGAATCAGAGCTTATTAACCTGTGGATGAGATGATGGCAAACACCTCCTGCAGAGACGGTAGCAGCGTGGCCGGCTCAGCCTTCCAGATGCCCTGCAGCAAAGCACTCACCCTGGTCACTTGGGTCACATACTCCCGCAACTCCCGCTCTTCAGTGGCAGGACAGTTGAAGTACGCAAAGGTGCGCACAAGCTGCTGACAGAAAAGAACTCCTGCCTTCTCTCGTGGGACACACTGAGGGAAGTCCGTCAGTATGGTGGCCAGTTTGGCACAGGTTGCTGGTTCTGGCCGTTCACAGATGATGCGTAGGACCTCCGTCTGTAGCAGCGGTGCCAACTCTAACACAGCCGGGCAGCTGATGAGCAGTCGGAGAGAACCGTGAATGAAGTCCAAGATGGCAGGGTCTCTGCTGTCCAAAGAGCTGTAGCCCTGCTGAAGGAGACCAAGCACGTATTCCTTGCTGAAGAAGTGGGCAAACTCATCGCGATGGTAGCGTGCGTATGCTTCTTGCACTTGGAGGCCAACCTGTCGCTGAAAAGCATCCTCACCCAAGAGAATAAAGCGGGTGGTGAGATGGTACAAGGCCTGGCACTGCTCCTCTGTCACCTCCTTTTCTGCAGCTTCTATCACTTTTTTCACAATAGCCCGTTTGACAGACAGAGGATGGGAGGAGCTCACCAGCGCCTCCAAAATCTTATCCATGGTTGGACTGTATTGAACCACAGGAAAGGTAAGCCAAAAGAGGTGTAACTGTAGATGAGAGAATGCTATTAATTTCAGTGCAATTCCTGATTTTCTCAAATTATTAGTCATGTCTGGCTCTAAAGATCCTTTATGATGCTTTCCTAGTTGACAACTCTAATCTATTAATTGACCGAATCTTTTCATGTGTAGTAGCTTTTAAAACAATAAAATAGAACTCAGATAGCTTTGCCTGCCTGTATAAGATTTTGAAATAATAAATTCAGTGACATTAGATGAGAAGAATTTGGGCTTGTTCGACAAAAATGTTTTCTGCCCAAATGGTTACCCAGTAAACTATAAACTTGAAAATAAAATAAAGTTGAATGACAGTATTCACCCAATTGCTCCTTTAGTCACCACTTTGACAAAACTACCCACTAACTAATTTTGTTAAAGGGAATTTATCCCCAAACCTCTGTTTTAAAAAAAAAGTATTTTGACACTTTTCATAATGTTTATAATTATTTTATTACTATTCCTTGCTATATGTTACAATTAAAAATTTAAGGTTTTAAATTTTTTTTTTTTTTTCAAGAAAGATATGATTCTTTAAAGAACTAAAGCAAAAATGTAATTGCTTGTAATACTCTAGTAAGGTTGTAATATCTGTAATATATTGTATTGTAACCATCTTAGAAAATTGTCTTTATACTTATAAATGTTGTATTTTTTAGAAGCAAAAAAAAAAAAAACCTGACATGAATATTCATATTAGGATGTTTAAATTAAAGTAGTAGCCTATGTCTATAGCACGCCTAAAAACGCCAAATCCGCTTATATGATGGGACATTCCAACTGCTAATAATATTTTATTTTTCTCAGTTCATTTTTGTAGAAAGACATTGTTTACACAGCTATTACAAATGTGTATTTATTGTGTTATTCGGCAAAACAGAATATTCTAGAAATAAACAGCAACGTATGGCCTGTCATTCGACAAACAACATCATAAGGGTTTTCTTTGAGCTGTCATTAAGATAAAGCTAACTGCTAACTACTCTGCTAGCTAGCTTTGCTAGTACAAAGAGTAGCAATAAATTAAAACATCTAGTAGCACGACACAATAAAAAAAACGAAACCGAAATAATAGCACACACTGTTTATAGGTTAAATATTAAATTTCTTTCTATCGTCATCGACAATATCATCAGCTAAGTGGCTAACTCAGGAATCGAAACAAAGCAGATACTCTCAAATGCCAGAGCACTGACTTGGCAAAAACAAATATTACTTTCCTGTCCTTACTCAAAGGTGACAACAACCACCGACACTCACCAAATTAAGTCATTCCGAAAATGTCTTGGTGTAGAAAAATAAATAAATCACATCAGACGCTGAAATATATATATTTTTAGCGGATTAGTGTTGAGAGCTGTTTGGAAAACTGCGACCTCTTTCAATCAGCTGTTGAAACACACACACATACACGTCATCAGAACGCGCACAAATGATGTCAGGACCCCACTTGGACCCCACATGGGTCCGCTCAGAGAATGTCTGGTCGCTGCATAGTCCAAGTCCACTGTGGTGACAAATAATTTGACAAATCAGGTCCACCTCGAAACCTGTGCCCGAAATCGCCCCCCTATACCCTTAAATAGGGCACTATGAGGGACCAGCCATTTGTAGTGGTGTCCGTGGACGTTATTGAGTGCACTCATTCAATACCACAATGCACCGCAACGAGTGTACAACCGATGTACGCAACGGCTAGAGAATACTAGTGGTGGGCATATCGATCTTCGTGGAACACTGAAAACAGTTGAAGCAAATGTAGCAGTGTTTTGAAATTGCCATCACTAGATAATACCAGAGAATGTCTAATATGGGGAGAACTCCCACTCACATTAAACTTCCGGGTTCTGAACTGGTTGCAGTTCCACTCTGGGTCCACATGAGGGCGCTCACAGGACGAGTGCAGAATGAATGGAGGTCTATGGAGTTATACCCCTAAAAATCCACTTTTCTCAGGATATAATTTTTTGTCTAGTAATTTGAATGTTGTATTTGAAAGGAGATGCAAAGAAATTACACATCACTGGGTGTTAGATTTTTTAGAGTCACTTATTTGCTTTAAAAAGTATTTTTAAATGTCAATGACGTCATACACATCGTACGACCAGAGACCTGCTTTATGGCAATCCTTCAGTCACGTTGGTGCCTTCGCGCATAGACAGACGAGAAAAGCCGCGAAATAAAAAAATACTACTTATTGTTATTGTGTCACGAAATGTAGTTTTAATAGTTTATCAGTCGACAATGTAGTTGTTTAAAACTCAAATCTGTGGTTTATTTATAAAGATATAGCGCCTATTTAAAAATTTGATCTGACGTTTTTGGAGTTGTGAGATCCAGTCTTTCACCGGGCGCTCAGCGCTCATATACCCTGACTGGAACAGCCTTACCTCGTCTAGTGTTTCTGACGTTTGCCGCTGGCTCTGATGTGGTTAAACATGAGATATAATTCATCTTGTGTATATCTAATGGGCGATCTTTGGTCTCATTAATCTATCATTTGTTCCCTGGCAAATCGTTTTGGCTGAGGGCAAAGTGAAGTTTCATAACTTTATATTTTGGCTATTTTAACGTTGTATCCTGCTGTATGTTTGTCTAAATCGTTTATTTCTTGCTGTATAAGTTCTTATACCTTTTAGGCTACTTATAATGTCTATTACTGATCAATAAAACTGAAATTTAACAAAAATAGACAGGGTTGTGTCATTTTATTTTAATATAGCCTATTTATAGCCTTTTCATTTTTTATTTGCTGTATACTGTTTGTTTATTTTATTGACTAAACTATTAACTATTACTTCTCACTTTATCTTATATTTACTATTTGCATTGCACTGTAGTTGTACCATATCGTATTACCATAGATAAAGGATCCACCAGTTATCTTTGTTATTGCTAAAATCGGGTCAATAACAGAAAATGCTTTTTCCACAATAAGAAAACTATTGCAGCAACGTTCCAAAGCGGCCAATAGGGCGTCTATGTATTTATTATGTCTATGCTTTTGTGCTCTGCACTTTCTTTTCTCTCGAGGCATCGACAACACAGATGACACTGGTAAATACATGTGTGAGAGTCCGCATTGGTCCCGCTTCGGATGCCACGATGCCATCAAGCGGTGTCTCTGGTCGTAATCAGTCCTTCACTGATCAGCGTCCATTAGCAGAATGCTAGCGTGTTATTATGGGCAACAACAACTCAACCTGTAAGAAATCGAAAAGACATAAGTAGGCCTACTCGTTCATTCAACTTTCGACCTATAATAACCCATGTTGAACTTGCAAAACCTACAATCAAATCTGAGATTCCTCAACGGCAATCGGGTGAAAGAGACGTCTAGCCCCATAGACTCATTCATTTTGCACTCGGACGATCGCCCCCAGTGGAACTCTGGTGGAACTACAACCAAAATTTGGTACATTGGGACTTAATAGGGAGTGGCCAGGCTTTCCGTACACGGGCTTTGATAATACGCACTGAATAATGCACTGAGTTGAGCGCTGAATGAACTCCCGTGTCTCGCCAGGAGATGGCGCCTGAATCAAATCATCCTTTTTCCAAACCGCGCTGGTCCAGCGTAGTAGCATAGGCCTATGGCTAGCCGTTTTAACATTTAATCACTTAAACCTACTAGTCTCTATGTTCATGCTACTATTACTTATTTTTTAGATACTAGTGTCTATTCCATTAAGTACTAGTACTTATTCATTAGCTACTAGTGCTTATTCGTTACGTACTAGTGCCTTTTCTTTAGATACTAGGGCCTAGTGCTTATTCTTAAGGTACTAGTACCTTTTTAAAGATACTAGTACTTATTCATTAGATACTAGTCCTTATTTATTAGATACTAGTGCTTATTTATTAGTTACTAGTGCTTATTCAGTACTTATTCATTAGTTACTAGTACTTATTATAAGATAGTACTTATTCATTACATACTAGTACCTATTAAATAGGTACTAATACTTATTTATTAGAGTATATGGAGTGAAAACAGTCTCAAAACCTTCCACAAATGCACGCGAGAGATCCACATGCGCGGGCACCAATTCACAGATGCACACGAGAGATCCACACACGTAAATCAATGCACATATGCACGCGAGAGATCCACACACACACAACGCAATCCACAGATGCATGGGAGAGATCCACACACACACACACACAAATCAATACACAAATGCACGCGAGAGATCCACACACGCAAATTAATCCACAAAGGGGGGGGGGGGGTTGGGGGGGGGGGGGGGGGGGGGGTATATTATTTCAACCAACTAAATAATGAGACTGAATGATATACTCAATTCAAGACAATATTTATTACAAAGTAACAACAACACGAAAACCACTTTAAATTGAATGGTTCATTTGCCAAACAACATGTTTTTTCCATCTATGTAAACAGGTAGGTAAACAGATTTGGGTGAAAAAAGGCAATTCTGACATCATTTACCCACCCTCAAATTATTTTGAACCTATATGAGTTTCTTTCTTCAGCTGAACACAAATGAAAAGATATTTTGAAGAATGTCAGAAACCAGACGGTTAACAGAGCCCAATCAAGGCCGCGGAACAACAGTCTCAAAAGTCACGTGATTTGCTGTGCATGAAATTACAGGTAGGCCTACAGATAAAGCATTTGTGGATTATGAGCAAAGCAATGTGACTAAGGACAATGATGCATGATTGCTGTGTGTGTGGATCTCTCGTGTGCATTCGTAGCGCTGTGTGAGTGTGGATCTCTCGCGCACATCTGTGGATTGATTTGCGTGTGCGGATCTCTCCCGTGCATCTGTGGATTGCGTTGTGTGTGTGTGGATCTCTCGCGTGCATCTGTGGATTGATTTGCGTGTGTGGATCTCTCGTGTGCATCTGTGAATTGGTGCGCGCACATGTGGATTTCTCGCGTGCATTTGTGGATTGGTGCGCGCGCATGTGGATCTCTCGCGTGCATTTGTGGATTGATTTGCGTGTGTGGATCTCTCGCGTGCATCTGTGAATTAGTGCGAGCGCATGTGGATCTCTCGCGTGCATTTGTGGAAGGATTTGAGACTGTTTTCACTCCATACTAGTACTTATTTCAATAGTGACTAACTATTCTTTCCCTTTCGAGAGGTTCCTCCTATTGCGTAAGCTTACGCTATGGGAAAACTCCTTTTCTCGAGAAATATTGAAGTCTTTATGTAAAACGCATTGCAGCTGCACAGCATACAGCAATGAGTGAGGCAGCTCGGTCATTGGCTGTGCTGCGGCAACTTGCACGAACCAATGACGGGGCGACTCTGAACCCGCTTCCAATGAGCGTGCTTCGCGCCCACGCGCGTCAGAGCCCGCCAAGATGGGCGTGGCCAAGGGCTATGTATTGGGCGCCCCGTCGTCTGAGTTCTTTAGATTTAATCTCCTTCAGCAAAGAACCTTCTCTTCGCTGGATCCTCCGGATTTGTTGGAGTCTTTTCGCCGCCGCCGTCGACAAGCCTACAGCAGGACTGCTTCGAGGACGCCGGCGCCTTCAGCCGCCTTCGATTGCCCTTCTGCTAAGCCATCCGGCGCGCACCATCTATATCCTTTTTCAAAGCTATCAGTGTTCGCCCCCGCGACACTTTTTCTAAAAGAGCAAATTTCACAAGGCGTTGTTTCAAATGCCTTCCTGCGCCTCGTGTCGAGGCCCTCTTCAGGACGGGGATCGTCACATCATCTGCGCCCGCTGCTTGGGACCGGACCACGCAGAGGCTGCCCTTACTCGAGGCGGATGTCCCGAGTGTGACGCCCTGGGCCTCACCGAGCTGCGCGCTCGCTTCGCCGTTTTCACCGCGAAAGAGCCCACCTCTTCCGTGCTGCCATCTCCTCTAGTCGAGCCGCGAAAGAAAAAACGCCGCTCACAGAGACCGCCGGAGCACGCGGTTTGCAGTGATGTCACGCCGGGCCAATCCCCGCGTGCTTCACCACCACCCGAAGACTCCCCGCCGCCAGTCCAGTTCACACAGGCGGACCAGCACCCCTCCAGCGGAGCGATGGGGCTCGTCTCGTTTGGCGCGTCAGGGGATGACGATGATAAGGATGACAGTTTTTCCTGTGATGCTGCATCCGACGATTGGCCGGGCTCGTCCTTCGACCCCGCGCCATCGACATTAGCGGGCACGAGCGCGGGCTCCAGCATGGACTCTGAGATCGTCCGCATTCTCTCTAAGGCCGTGGAAGACCTCGGGCTCGATTGGTCTTCCCCGGAAGAACCCGCCCGCAGCCGACTGGACGAGTGGTTCCTGCAGGGGCGCCGACAGGCCCCTCGACAAAGACCCTCCCCCTTCTTCCCGGAAGTTCACGACGAACTCACGAAGTCGTGGAAAGCCCCGCACTCCGCTCGCCTGAAGCCTTCTTTTTCTTTGTCGCTCTCCTC